CACAGCCACAGCCGCCGCAGCCGAAATTTGGTGGGAGGACAGACGACACAGATCGGTGGATGGTTGCAAAAAGGCTTCATTCCATCTCTCTCTCTCTCTGTGTGTGTGTGTGCATGTCAGCACCAGGAGCGCCGCAGCAGCCCGGGCCCCCACCAGGAGGGCCTCATCCGCCACCACCACCACCGCCACCAGCAGGCGGACCAGCAGGCGGCCCTCCAGTGCCCAAGATGCCGCCCCCTGGCGGCCCCAACGCACCACAACCAGCGCAGCCCACAGCGGGCTTCGGACCTCCTGCCATCGCCCCAAAGGCACCTGGCCCACCAGTAGCTGCCAGTGGTGTTGTGGGAGGGAAGGCGCCCCCGCCCCCGCCGCCTCACCCTGGGCTGCTCCCGCCGCGGCCCCCCGGGCCTCTTGGTGTTCCTCATCCTCTTGGAATGGCAATGGGGATGATGCGCCCTCCCCACCCCCACGCACACGCACACCCAGCTCTGCGGATGTTCAATCCCTACATGCCGTCAAGAGTGCCGCCGCCTGTGCCGGGCTCTCAGGAGATCGCACAGTTCAACAAGAGAAACAAGGAGCGGCGGGAGGGGAAGCTGAAGAAGGAGACCACCACCGGCAGCAGCGGCACAGAGGGAGGGGAGAGGGAGCTCTCCCTCGGCCCGCGATCGCCCCCACACCCTTTCCCACCTCTCTCTCCCCCCTCGTCTGATCGCAATCCCATGAGGATGCCCCCGCCACCCCGTTCCCCCCCGCCCCCTCGCAGGCGCGGTTCTGCTCGTGGCCATTCCTCTGGTCGTCGCAGTGGTCACGGTGGCGGCCGTGGTGTGTCGTCGTCATCATTGATGCGGTCGCCCCGTGCGCCGTTTCGCCCGGGGACGCTGGCTCCCGTGTTGGAAGGGCCGGAGAGCCAGGAAATCAGTGAGATTGTGGAGGAGGTGGCTGGAGACGAGCAGCAGCAGCAGCAGCAGCAGGGAGGAGGGGGTGGCGGTGATGGTGGTGGTGGCGAGCGCACCGCAGAGTTGGGAAGTGCTGTTGTGATGCCTCCTAAGGCGGCTGCTGGTGCTGCTGGTGCTGGTAGTGGTAGTAGCAGTGGTGCTGGGGCTGCAGCAGCAGTTGGTGTTGGTGCGCCTCCATCTCCATCTGGGGGGAATGCCATCGCTCATCCCGTAAGCAGAGACATTAACAAACACGCGACATCATCCATTGGTCATTGCTGCCGTGCCCTCTCGTGTATGTCTGTCTGTCTGTCTTGTCAGGCCTTTTCTAGCCCCTCTGTGCATCCTCCCATCCCTCCCACCGCAGCAGCAGCGGCGGCGGCGGCGGCGGCGGCTGGTCCATCAGTCGGTGCCGCTGGGGCTGCGGGAGGAGTGGTTCGTCGTGGCCCCCACCTGCACAACCACCACCACCAGCACCAGCAGCACCAGCACATCCGAGTGGTGTATCCGCCGGTGGTCAACCGAGCTGTCGTGGGGCGCACTGCCCCAGCGGTGATGCCCCTGCCTTCAGTGCTTGCGGGTGGTGGTGGTCCGATGCCTGCGGGGGTCTCGCCGATGCATAGCTACTTGGTAGGTCCTGTCTGTCTATGTGTGTGTGTGTGTGTGTCTGTGTGTGTGTCCATTGCAATCGTGCTGTGAACATGGTGCTGTGGTTGTGTGTGTGTGGGTGGCTGCAGGTGCCTCCACCATCAGGTGCGCCAGGTGCGCTGTCACTCTCTCCCCGTGTGGCACCTCCTAGTGCAGCAGCAGCTGCTGCTGCTACTGGCCCGGCTGGTGCTTGTGTTCGTCCGGCTGGTGTTGCTGCCTCGATCTCTCCGATGCATAGCTACTTGGTAGGTGCGTATGGATTGACACGATTGTGTATGTGTCTGTTTGTCTGTGTGCAGGGGCCGCGACGGACCTTCACACATGGACACGTACCTGCTGTGCTGTCGCCCACTTCTACTTCGACACTGGTTTGTCTGTGTGTGTGTGTGTGTGTTGGTGCCCATTTCTGTGGGTGTGTCTCTGTTTATGTGTGTGTGTCTGTGTGCAGGTGCCGCCCATGTCGCCAGCTATCGCAGCAGTGAGGTCTCCCGGCTCTGCCCCTCTCATACACAACGCCCAGGTACCCACACCAGCCGCCACAAACCACCTCACCGACATTCCCCACATGCGGCTGTGTGTGTGTGTGTGCAGCCGTGGGTACCGCAGTTGCCCCCGCCCCCGGCACGCTGGCCGATGTGGCCCTCACACCAGCACCAGCACCAGCAGCAGAGGCAGTGAAAGGCGTAAGAGTAGGTGCGTGTGCGTGTGTGTGTGAGAGGGTGGGTGTGTGGGTGTCTGATCGCACTTGCAAACGAGGGTCGATCGCAGAATGGGTGGCTGATAGACCGGCTGGCTGAGTGGCTGTAGATATGTGTGTGGATGTGTGGATGGATGGATGGATGGATCCAATGCTCCATGCGGACAAATATATACAGTTACAGACACCCACACCAGCACGCACACACACATAAAGGGTCCTCTGTTTCACGCTGTCCATCCATCCATCCATCCAGCCATCCAGCCATCCAGCCAGCAGCACTTGACGAAAAACTGTTGCCCCCTCTCCGATTTCCATCCACCCAGCCTCCCTCCCGCCCGCCCTTGTTTGTCAGTCAGTCGGCATGCGGCCTCCCCGTCTCCCGGCTCTCGTCGTGCAGCGTGCCGCTTGGATGTGTTGGCGGCGGCATATCGCCGATCTGGCTCATGATCGCCACTCGAGCAGCACCATACGCACACGCTCCCGACCCACCCACAACTCCTACACACCAAGGGCAAGAGGCAGACGCAGAGAGGGACAGACAGAGAAATGGGCAGAGAGGGGGAGGGGGAGGGGGAGG